GCAGAAGAAGACGCCGGGCAGCTTTCGTCGATTTAAAAGTTAAGTACTTGTAAATGTTACCCCCTCTTGAACTCAGGTCTGAAAAGTTGGATCACTGTCCTCTTTTCAGATCTGGGGGCAGGACAACCGTGTTGTTTTGTTTGATGTAATGTGGGCCCTTGTCTCTGTGTTGAAGTCAAAGAATTCATTTCCGATGCCCGCGATCTAGCCACTTGGAACACTTGCGCCAAATGTCTGAAATTATGCAACTGAAAGTTCTTATATTTTGGGAGCTTATTGTATTGTATGACAACAAGTCGAAATTGAGTGCGCGCAGCATGAAAAGAGTAACAAAATAGCATCGCGTCTGGCTGGAAATGAAGTCTTTCCTTGTATGTGTATGTGTTATTTATGTGGAATTTTGAAAGATGTACATTTGTGACTGGCATTAACATTGCTCTTGCTGCTGTTGCGCAGTTTCTTTTTGTCTTTTTTGTCCGTGTGTCCTGTGCAGGTCCACGAAGAAGAAGATGAGGGTCTCTGGTGCAGAAGAAGACGCCGGGCAGCTTTCGTCGATTTAAAAGTTAAGTACTTGTAAATGTTACCCCCTCTTGAACTCAGGTCTGAAAAGTTGGATGACTGTCCTCTTTTCAGATCTGGGGGCAGGACAACTGTGTTGTTTTGTTTGATGTAATGTGGGCCCCTGTCTCTGTGTTGAAGTCAAAGAATTCATTTCCGATGCCCGCGATCTAGCCACTTGGAACACTTGCGCCAAATGTCTGAAATTATGCAACTGAAAGTTCTTATATTTTTGGAGCTTATTGTATTGTATGACAACAAGTCGAAATTGAGTGCGCGCAGCATGAAAAGAGTAACAAAATAGCATCGCGTCTGGCTGGAAATGAAGTCTTTCTTTGTATGTGTATGTGTTATTTATGTGGAATTTTGAAAGATGTACATTTGTGACTGGCATTAACATTGCTCTTGCTGCTGTTGCGCAGTTTCTTTTTTGTCTTTTTTGTCCGTGTGTCCTGTGCAGGTCCACGAAGAAGAAGATGAGGGTCTCTGGTGCAGAAGAAGACGCCGGGCAGCTTTCGTCGATTTAAAAGTTAAGTACTTGTAAATTTTACCCCCTCTTGAACTCAGGTCTGAAAAGTTGGATCACTGTCCTCTTTTCAGATCTGGGGGCAGGACAACCGTGTTGTTTTGTTTGATGTAATGTGGGCCCTTGTCTCTCTGTTGAAGTCAAAGAATTCATTTCCGATGCCCGCGATCTAGCCACTTGGAACACTTGCGCCAAATGTCTGAAATTATGCAACTGAAAGTTCTTATATTTTGGGAGCTTATTGTATTGTATGACAACAAGTCGAAATTGAGTGCGCGCAGCATGAAAAGAGTAACAAAATAGCATCGCGTCTGGCTGGAAATGAAGTCTTTCTTTGTATGTGTATGTGTTATTTATGTGGAATTTTGAAAGATGTACATTTGTGACTGGCATTAACATTGCTCTTGCTGCTGTTGCGCAGTTTCTTTTTTGTCTTTTTGTCCGTGTGTCCTGTGCAGGTCCACGAAGAAGAAGATGAGGGTCTCTGGTGCAGAAGAAGACGCCGGGCAGCTTTCGTCGATTTAAAAGTTAAGTACTTGTAAATGTTACCCCCTCTTGAACTCAGGTCTGAAAAGTTGGATTACTGTCCTCTTTTCAGATCTGGGGGCAGGACAACCGTGTTGTTTTGTTTGATGTAATGTGGGCCCTTGTCTCTGTGTTGAAGTCAAAGAATTCATTTCCGATGCCCGCGATCTAGCCACTTGGAACACTTGCGCCAAATGTCTGAAATTATGCAACTGAAAGTTCTTATATTTTGGGAGCTTATTGTATTGTATGACAACAAGTCGAAATTGAGTGCGCGCAGCATGAAAAGAGTAACAAAATAGCATCGCGTCTGGCTGGAAATGAAGTCTTTCTTTGTATGTGTATGTGTTATTTTTGTGGAATTTTGAAAGATGTACATTTGTGACTGGCATTAACATTGCTCTTGCTGCTGTTGCGCAGTTTCTTTTTTGTCTTTTTGTCCGTGTGTCCTGTGCAGGTCCACGAAGAAGAAGATGAGGGTCTCTGGTGCAGAAGAAGACGCCGGGCAGCTTTCGTCGATTAAAAGTTAAGTACTTGTAAATGTTACCCCCTCTTGAACTCAGGTCTGAAAAGTTGGATCACTGTCCTCTTTTCAGATCTGGGGGCACGACAACGGTGTTGTTTTGTTTGATGTAATGTGGGCCCCTGTCTCTGTGTTGAAGTCAAAGAATTCATTTCCGATGCCCGCGATCTAGCCACTTGGAACACTTGCGCCAAATGTCTGAAATTATGCAACTGAAAGTTCTTATATTTTGGGAGCTTATTGTATTGTATGACAACAAGTCGAAATTGAGTGCGCGCAGCATGAAAAGAGTAACAAAATAGCATCGCGTCTGGCTGGAAATGAAGTCTTTCTTTGTATGTGTATGTGTTTTTTATGTGGAATTTTGAAAGATGTACATTTGGGACTGGCATTAACATTGCTCTTGCTGCTGTTGCGCAGTTTCTTTTTTGTCTTTTTGTCCGTGTGTCCTGTGCAGGTCCACGAAGAAGAAGATGAGGGTCTTTGGTGCAGAAGAAGACGCCGGGCAGCTTTCGTCGATTTAAAAGTTAAGTATAACTTGTAAATTTTACCCCCTCTTGAACTCAGGTCTGAAAAGTTGGATGACTGTCCTCTTTTCAGATCTGGGGGCAGGACAACCGTGTTGTTTTGTTTGATGTAATGTGGGCCCTTGTCTCTGTGTTGAAGTCAAAGAATTCATTTCCGATGCCCGCGATCTAGCCACTTGGAACACTTGCGCCAAATGTCTGAAATTATGCAACTGAAAGTTCTTATATTTTGGGAGCTTATTGTATTGTATGACAACAAGTCGAAATTGAGTGCGCGCAGCATGAAAAGAGTAACAAAATAGCATCGCGTCTGGCTGGAAATGAAGTCTTTCTTTGTATGTGTATGTGTTATTTATGTGGAATTTTGAAAGATGTACATTTGTGACTGGCATTAACATTGCTCTTGCTGCTGTTGCGCAGTTTCTTTTTTGTCGTTTTGTCCGTGTGTCCTGTGCAGGTCCACGAAGAAGAAGATGAGGGTCTCTGGTGCAGAAGAAGACGCCGGGCAGCTTTCGTCGATTTAAAAGTTAAGTATTTGTAAATTTTACCCCCTTTGAACTCAGGTCTGAAAAGTTGGATCACTGTCCTCTTTTCAGATCTGGGGGCAGGACAACCGTGTTGTTTTGTTTGATGTAATGTGGGCCCTTGTCTCTGTGTTGAAGTCAAAGAAGGAAGAACTGGTATGCAGCACAGACGCACCATACTCACCTACATGTGATTCTCCAGAGACACAGGTAGCCAACACGATATATAAAACTGGGACAATGAAGAATATTGGCAAGAAATTGAGAATGATCTCAATGACATCTAGCTCAATTGACCCAACCGTGACATCAGAACCAGAAAACCCCTGGGTGGACTTTGATGATATAAACATTGACCCTTTTTTGTCGCCGGAAGTACCTGAGGAAGCTCCAGGGTCAAGCATCCCTTAACTTCTGACGATCGCAGAAGTTGTTGGACTCGCTGATAGTGGACTTATGGATTAGTATGCTTAGCAAATATTGTTAAAATAAATTGTTTCACGTTTTGGGTTTGTAGATGCTGGAAAAACCAAGAAAATCATTCATTTTCTTGTAGTCTGGTTCCCTGACCCCACTTAAGATGAAACAGAGAATTTATAGACTTCGGGGGAATTGTAAGTTCAGAGAATTAGTCTAGCAGGCTTGTACCCCTTCACAGGTGTGTAATCAATTGCAAATAGTTTGTGCAGTTTTTGCAGCAAAGAGTTTGCAAGCAGTTTTTGAAAAAAGCCAGTTTTCTCCAATGCTGGTCGGCCGACCAGCATTGGAAAAATGCAATTTTTCTTGAAAATGTTGGCACACCAGGAGCCATGATTTTACAGGATGCTTTTAGACTGTCATTCCCTAACAATCCAGTAAGGTATTTTGTGATAATTTGATAATTTCGTTTTGAGATGTTTGCAAATGTTGTATCTTCCCTTTAATTCATTGTTAAAAAAGAAAAAAATGTGATTGAACAAAGATTACACATGGCGCAGAAAAATGAAGCAGCCATTGTGGTAAAAAAAAACCATTAAATCGTTGTCATGTTAATATTTATTGTCTATGACGGCATAGGCCTATAGGATAAATGATGTCATCGCTGCCGTCTTTATTCAATCGTTTAAACGTTTATTCTATCTATAAATATAACTTGATCCGCGATCAATCCTCGTCACAAAATCCTCAAGGAGGCATGATTACGCCTCACCGTAATACTCATGAATGCTGTGTCCGAAACGGGCCTCCAGAGCTACCGCTACGTACGTCTATTGTCAGCGCGTCCTCGCGTATTTTCAATGGACGCAGACCTAGACCATTTCCGATGCAGCCCTAGCTAGCACCGAGCATAGGGTAGCAGACCAATAAATAAACTTCCATAGACCCCAATGGTAAATGCTCCCACTTCAAAAATTCTGGAAAAATACTCACAACTCTCCAAGGTGTTCGAGACACACATCAAATTAAAGCTTATTTCATCATCTTTCATTTTCTTTTCAATTTTTGGGGGGGTCAACTGATGACTTTTAGGAGAAATTTCCATCTGAAGATGATCACTCCTGAAAATAGTCCTGAAGCCCATCGCCATTTTGAAAAACGATGCCTACACTCCATTGCAAAATAGAGCGCTTTTAGGGTCCAAATTACTGTGGCGTCCGTGCCGGTCGGCCGCCAGAGGGCACCAGCGCGGTTCCACGGTGGAGCCGCGCAGTGGAGCCCCTGGTGGCCGGCCGGGGAGGCCCGTTCTTCCGGGCGGCGCATGCGCAGTAGTATTGTTGTGGCCTCGTTGCTGAAGTGTTTGCGGTGTACGTTTTTGTGGAAATAAACAGTCTGAAGCAGCAGAAACGAGTAAACCTGTGTTGGGAGTCCTTTCTTGGAGTGCGTGTGAGGAACCCCAGAAGTGTTCTACGCTACATTGGTGGCAGCGGCGGCACGCAGAAGGCGGAAAAACAGGTGAATTTTTCAGATATTTTCTGCAATGAATTCAGGAGATCACGGAAGTCTGGCACCTAACTCGCCACACGGCGAGGAAGCAGGCTGGAGTGCGGGCTCACGGAGTGGGGGCCCGTCTAGTGGATCGGCCGGCAGTACCTTCGTCACGGTGGACGAGTTGGAATCCTTTTTGCGGGATAGTCCGGGGAATTTTGGAGGGAGGAAAAGGGAAACAAGGGGGTTTCTGGGGACGGATTTTCTCATGAGGGAGGATGTGGGGGATGGTAAAGTGGAATTTCAGGACTTGGGCGGGGGGTTAAGTCATTGCAGTACGTCTACCCCTGCGGGGGGTGGGCGTGCACATTACCATAAATCATCAATGACTGGTACCCTGTCCCACGAGGGGCCGCCCCGTGCTGTAGACGGCGGCGCAGCAGACGGTTCGTTCCAATCGGAACGATCCCGAGTTGTGCTGGTGGATGCAGCGGGGGTGGATGCAGCGGGATATGGTGGATGCAGCGGGATATACCCCAGATATTCTGTAACAACACAGTATATGCCAGGTCCCACGAGGGGCCGCCCCGTGCTGTAGACGATGGCGCAACAGACGTTTCGTTCCATTCGGAACGATCCCGATTTGTGCTGTCCGATGCAGCGGGGGCGGGGCTTCGTCGGGACATGCCCCAGTTTGTTGGTAATAAAGCCGCATATGCCGGGTCCCGCGAGGGGCCGCCCCGTGCTGTAGACGCTAGCGCAGCAGACGTTTCGTTCCATTCGGAACGATCCCGAACTGTGCTGGTTGATGCAGCGGGGGCGGGGTTTCGTCCTGGGGCAACCCGCAATCCCTACGCTCATGAAAATAGTACTGAAGTGCCACTCGGTGCTTACATGGATACAACTGGTGTGGCCTCCCATTCGGGGCGCCCCCAGGCTGGATTTGCCCATATAGCGGGGGCGGGAAACCGTCCGAGCACGCATCAGGCGGCACAACTGGGCGTGGATCTCCCCCAGCAGTACTTTCGTCCCCACTATCGCAGTGCGGCGAGTCCTGACCTCCACTCGGAGCAGGCCCGCACTGCACGACTCTGTGGGACGGAGCCGGTGGACTTGCTCCGCACGGACGTCTATGGCGCGGAGCCGGCAAGGTTGCCCCGCACGGACGTCTATGGCGCGGAGCCGGCAAGGTTGCTCCGCACGGGAAACTATGGGGCAGAGCCGACAGAGTTGCTCCGCACACGAGTCAATGGACGGGAGTCCGTAGAGTTGCTCCGCACACAAGTCAATCGAGCGGAGCCTACAGAGTTGCTCCGCACGGACGTCTATGGCGCGGAGCCGGCAAGGTTGCTCCGCACGGGAGTCAATGGGTCAGAGCTGCTCCGCACACAAGTCAATGGTGCGGAGCCGACAAGGTTGCTCCGCACGGGAGTTTATGGGGCGGAGCCGACAGAGTTGCTCCGCACACAAGTCAATGGAGTGGAACCCGTGGAGTTGCTCCGCACACGAGTCAATGGGGCGGAGCCGACAAAGTTGCTCCACACGGACGTCTATGGTGCGGAGCCGGCAGGGTTGCTCCGCACGGACGTCTATGGCGCAGAGCCGGCAAGGTTGCTCCGCACGGGAGTCAATGGGGCAGAGCTGCTCCGCACGCAAGTCAATGGTGCGGAGCCGACGAGGTTGCTCCGCACGGGAGTTTATGGGGCGGAGCCGACAGAGCTGCTCCGCACACGAGTCAATGGAGTGGAACCCGTGGAGTTGCTCCGCACACGAGTCAATGGACGGGGGTCCGTAGAGTTGCTCCGCACACAAGTCAATGGGGCGGAGCCGACAGAGTTGCTCCGCACGGACATCTATGGCGCGGAGCCGACAAGGTTGCTCCGCACGGGAGTCAATGGGGCAGAGCTGCTCCGCACACAAGTCAATGGTGCGGAGCCGACGAGGTTGCTCCGCACGGGAGTTTATGGGGCGGACCCGACAGAGTTGCTCCGCACACGAGTCAATGGAGTGGAACCCGTGGAGTTGCTCCGCACACGAGTCAATGGACGGGAGTCCGTAGAGTTGCTCCGCACACGAGTCAATGGGGCGGAGCCGACAGAGTTGCTCCGCACGGAAGTCTATGGCGCGGAGCCGGCAGGGTTGCTCCGCACGGACGTCTATGGCGCGGAGCCGGCAAGGTTGCTCCGCACGGGAGTCAATGGGGCAGAGCTGCTCCGCGCACAAGTCAATGGTGCGGAGCCGACGAGATTGCTCCGCACGGGAGTCAATGGGGCAGAGCTGCTCCGCACACCAGTCAATGGTGCGGAGCCGACGAGGTTGCTCCGCACAGGAGTCAATGGGGCAGAGTTGCTCCGCACACAAGCCAATGGGATGATGCCGGCACGGTTGTTTCGCACGCAAGCCAACGGAGCGGAACCGACCCAGCTGCTCGGCCGTACACCACTGCAGTTGGGAGATCCCCTGGGACGTCACCACCCGGTGCTCCCAGGGGGGGCCGACCCGGTTTCTGCCGATGTTTGGGCGGCCCCTAAACAGGCGGGGGGGCGCTTCCCAAGTGCCAGTCAAGCGGGGGACTACAACGCCTGATCACTTCGGGCCGGGGGGTCGGAGACCACTGATGCTCCCCAACAAGTTTGACGGGATCTTGTCATGGTCGGATTACTTGATCCATTTCGAGAGCGTTGCAGCAGTCAATCAGTGGGGTGAGGCGGAGAAGGCGATGTTCCTTGCATCTCACCTAAAGGGCACGGCCCAGGAGGCATTGGCGGATATGGTACTGGAAACGCGGAAGGAATATTCCTCCATTTTGGAAAACTTCGAGCAGCGGTTCGGGGTGACAGCACAGATTCCACTACATCGGGCTCAGTTGTCTATGCGTACGAGGGGCCGAGACGAGTCACTCAGTAGCCTAGGACAATCCATCCGACGGTTGGTGTTGAAGAGCTACCCGAAGCTGCCCACACAGGCCCGTGAGGATTTGGCGGTCGAGGCTTTCCGCAATGCCCTGCGAGAGGAACAGCTGCAGCGTCACATCTTCTCCAGGAAAGCAACGACTTTGACCGAAGCAGTCACTCTGGCGACCGAAATGGAAGCATTTCTCGAGTCGCAAGCGCAAAACAGAAAAGGGAAACTGATGGCTAGGGACGTGAGGTCGGTAGCCCAGCCTCCTCCAACCCCTGCCGAGGAACCAAGATCGGCTGCCTGGGCCGTGTACACACCAGGTGCGCGTGCCCAGGTGGAGTGCTATGGGTGCCACGAATTTGGACACATCAGGCGGTACTGCCCTAATCAGAAACGGCAGTCTGCCTCCTTCCAACCACGACCACAGAAAGAGGAAATACCGAAACTTCCTGTTCCGGAGCCGGCTGTTCGGGCCAGGCCGGCCTCGGGTGGAACGTCTCAGGCAAATTACGTGGCGGGGAGGATCGTGGGGAAACCAGTGCGTTGCCTCCTGGACACCGGAGCAACAGTGAGTCTGATCTCGGAGCGAATCTACAATGCCTGGCCCAGTGCCGAGAGACCGAACCTCCTTCCGTCATCTCCAGCTCTGAGGATGGCGGACGGCAGCCCCATGCCGACAAGAGGAGGGGGCAATTTCGATTTACAAGTGGGGGATCTGCGCGCAAACCACACCTTTACTGTGGCCGATATCGAGCCAGACGTGATACTCGGAATTGATTTCTTGTCAAAGTATCACTGCGAATGGCGATGGGGAGACAACGCTGTCATCATTAACGGGAAGGCGGTCCCCTTGGGAGGTGTTACGCACAAACCCATGGTGGCGAGAGTGCAGGTGACGGAGAACATGATAATCCCAGCTGGTCACGAGGCGATCCTCACGGGGGAGATAAAGACTGAACCAAGGATGGGAGTCGGGATGGTTTACCCCAGCTTGGAGGCTACGGACAATTGCCGGGTCGCCGTCGCTACCGGCCTGGTTGACACAAACAATGGAACCGTGCCGGTTCGGGTTTTTAACCCGACGACCGACCCTGTAACGGTCTATAAAGGCAGCCGCTTGGCTCTCTTCTCACCGATGGAGGGTCTGGATGTGATTGAGCTGGAGGACGGGCAACAAGGATCTGCCGTCAACCACCTCCCTTTGGGTGACGCCGGACAGAGGACGGATGCCCAGAGAGAGGTACCGCCCCATCTGCAAGACCTCCTGGAGCGAGGAGCCGCGAACCTTGACCGTGTTGAACGTTCCCAACTGGCTGAATTGCTGACGGAATTCGCTGGAGCATTCACCGGTCCGGATGGCAAACTTGGTCAGACCGAACTGACCCGACACACAATAAATACAGGGACAGCAACGCCTATACGTCAACCGCCGAGGAGATTGCCGATACATAAACGGCAAGAAGCCGACCGGCAGGTAAAACAGATGCTGCAGGACGGCGTGGTCGAGCCCTCCCACAGCCCTTGGTCATCCCCGGTGGTGCTGGTCCGGAAGAAGGATGGGTCTGTCCGGTTCTGCGTCGACTACCAGAAAGTCAATGAGGTGACGATGAAGGACGCCTACCCCATCCCCAGAATCGAGGACAACCTTGACGCTTTGAGCGGGGCGAAGTGGTTCAGCACCCTTGATCTGGCCAGTGGCTACTGGCAAGTCGGCATGGACCAGGGTGACCGGGAGAAGACGGCTTTTGGGATGCAGAACGGCCTGTACCAGTTCACCGTTATGCCCTTTGGCCTTTGCAACGCTCCTGCGACATTTGAGCGTCTGATGGAGCAAGTGTTGAGGGGGTTGCAGTGGCAGGTGGCGGTAGTCTACCTGGATGACGTGATCGTGTGGGGGGCAGACTTCGAGGAACACCACAAGCGGCTGACCACGGTCCTGGAGCGATTCCGAGCCACCGGCCTGAAGCTCAAACCAAAAAAAATGCGATCCCTTCAGGACAGAGGTGTCCTTCTTGGGTCACCTCGTGTCGGCCGAGGGAGTAAGGACGGATCCGGAAAAGGTCGCGGCCATCAGGAACTGGCCGCAACCAGCAAACCTGACTCAAGTACGGAGTTTCCTGGGCCTCGCGTCCTACTACAGGCGCTTCATTGCGAACTTCGCCGAGATTGCTCGCCCCCTCCATGCCCTTACCACCAAGAGCCAAAGGGCGTTCTCCTGGTCGAGTGCTTGCCAGTCAGCATTGGAGCACCTCAAGGACGCATTGACCACCGCACCCGTGTTGTGCTACCCGAATACGGAGCGCCGCTACGTCCTGGACACAGACGCCAGCTACTGCACCATCGGAGCAGTGCTGTCGCAGGAGGGGGACGATGGTGAACGAGTGGTCGCCTATGGCAGCCGTACCCTGTCTAAGGCCGAACGCAACTACTGTACCACTCGGAGAGAGTTGCTGGCCGTGGTCCATTTCGTTCACTATTTCAAACACTACCTTCTTGGTAAACGGTTCCTGCTTCGAACGGATCACGGATCGCTGCGATGGCTGTTCAACTTCCGCGAACCCGAGGGGCAGACGGCCAGGTGGATTCAGAGGCTGGGGTGCTACGAGTTCGATGTGGAACATCGGGCGGGTAGGAAGCACACGAACGCCGACGCCGTCTCTAGAATCCCGTGTGGCCAGTGTGGGCGATCAAAAGAAGCAAGTCAAGAATGCTTTACTAAAGAAAGCCCCCTTGCTCAGCGGGACGCTGACTTGCAGCTGAGCCAGTCGCGCGATGCTGGGAAGACGCAACCAGGGGAGGTGCAGGTGGGAGCCATTACGGGGGCTGGGCAGGAAGAAGCCACCACCACGGAAGGGCTCCTGGAAGCCTGGGACCAGGAAGAACTCAGACAGGAACAACGTAGTGACCCAGAGCTGGACAAGATCGTGCGGTGGCTGGAAGACGGGGTCCCCAAACCCAGCTGGCGGGACGTCTCGGCGCTGGGTGAAGGCCCAAAGTACTGGTGGGCTAAGTGGGAGACGCTGCGGCTGTCCCAGGGCGTATTGCAGGTGAAGTGGGAGCAGCCCAATGGCGAACCGCCGGTATGGAAGGTTGTGGTACCACGGGTGAAAGTCGACGACGTTTTGCGACTGGCGCATGACAATAGAACTTCAGGACATTTGGGGATTACCCGGACCGTTGCGCGGCTGAGACAGGCTCCGGTGTTCTGGAGGGAGATGCGACGCCAGGCAGAAGAGTGGTGTCAAAAGTGCCACAAGTGCGGGTCAAAGAAGTCACCTCCTCGACCCCTCAAGGCCCCACTTCAACAGTACCTGGTAGGGGCTCCGATGGAGCGCCTCGCGATCGACCTCACAGGTCGATTTCCAAGGACGAGGACAGGGAATTCTAGCATCGTGGTGGTGGCCGACTACTTTACGAAGTGGGTGGAGGCGTTTCCGATCCCGGACCAGACTGCTCAGACTGTCGCCAGAGTCCTCGTCGAACAGGTCATCACCCGGTTTGGAGCTCCCCTCGAGATCCACACGGATCAAGGGAGGGAGTTCGAAGCCGAGCTCTTCCAGGGCACCTGTAAGCTGCTCGGCGTCCAAAAGACCCGTACCACACCGTTCCACCCCCAGTCTGACGGGATGGTGGAGCGGTTCAACCGCACAGTCAAGACGATGCTGAGCCTGTTTGTTCATGAGAACCAGGACGATTGGGACGAACACCTACCGTACGTGATGATGGCGTACCGCTCCTCCCAGCACGACAGCACAAAATTCACGCCCAACATGCTGATGTTCGGCCGAGAAGTGCGACTTCCGTTGGACCTGGTGGTGGGCCAGCCGGAGAAACCAAAGGCAGGCGCAGCAGAGCACGAATATGTGGAGGGGTTGAGGACAAAGATAGAGTGCGCCCACGAGTTTGCCCGTCATCATCTGCGGAAGAGCCAGACATATCAAAAGCGACATTACGATCGTCGAGCAGAAAGTGCCAGCTATAAGCCTGGCCAACCTGTGTGGTTGTATACCCCCTTCAAGAAAGTGGGTCGCACGCCCAAGTTGCAGTGCTGGTGGGACGGGCCCTTCGTGGTGACACAGAAGATCGATGATGTCACGTTCCGCGTGCAAAAATCCCCTCGAGCCAAAGCCAAGGTGGTTCATTCCAATCGGCTTAAGCCGTATCTGGGCGACGCCGAAGTGGACTGGTGGAGGCGCGTAGCGCAGAACCTGCCAAAAAGGGGACCGCCACCAACCCAAGACCAGGAGGTGACGCTACCACCGAGTCCGTCGACTGACACTACCCAGGAGGATCCGCCGGCTGGGGTGGGTGGTCAGTTAGCCAAGGAGGGACCGCTACCAGTTAAGACGGGGAAGGGGACACTGCCGGAGGCGACAGCGACTGCCGCCCCAGGAGGACCGGGCAGCGAGGATGACGGATCCGATGCGGAATTGGCCGAGCCCGAAGGGGGACAGCCCTCTTCACCACCAGCGGCGCTGGCTCCTGGGAGAGTCACCCGGGGTGGCCGGAAGATAATCCGACCAAGCCGTTATTGCCAACAAATAACCAAATGCTCTTCTTTTTCTTCCCCTGCAGGATGGACCCGGCCCCGATTCATTGCCCGCACTGTGACCAGACGTTCGGGAGGAGGAGGAACTTAAAGAGGCACCTCAACACCGCGTGTGTGGCGCTCCACCCGGAGCGCCCATACCCCTGCCAGAGAGGGTGCGGAGTCCGTTTTTTTAGGGCCGATGTCCGCACCAGACACCACCGGTTCTGCCAAGGGGACAGCGTGGCCGTGGTGATGGCGGAGGCCGATACACTGGAGGTGCACGCCAGTGACGACGACATGGGACAGGCCCCGTCCCCGCCTCATCTCTCCCGGCAGGGGACCCCAGACCCACCTCCATTCGGACGGTGTGGTCCGGCAGGACGGTCCCCGTCGCCGCCGCCACTAAGAAGACGGGTAAGTCCAGTGTCGTCAGGGGGGCCGGGGGGCCGCGACCACCCGGAGCGGTCCTCCCGGCCTTCCCGCCCTGAACAGGACAGGTCGCCTGGTCGGCGGAGCCTGGACCGGGCCGAGCGACCCTGCCAGCCACCACCCCGGCGGAGTCCCGACCGGCGGTTCCCCTGGAGCCGTGCCCAGGGCAGGCGTCCTCGCTTCAGCAGGGCAGCGGAAGCAAGCCCTGGTCGCCCCCAGCCGACACGGGCGGAGGGCGGAACACAGACGGAACCCCCGATGTCCCCTGAGGTTCCGGTCCAACCTTGGAATGGCCAGCGGAGGGTTCTGCCGGCCGGGTCTCGGGTGAGCCTTCCGGACGGGACCTCGCTGCGACTGGAGACGGCCGGCGCCCTCCACCCGGACAACACCACCAGGGAGGCCGCCACGCACATGCTGGAACCCCTGTGCGAGCATGCGCGGGACGAATGGCGGCTCGAAAGGACATTCCATGGAGCGGACGAGGCCGGCCACCGGCTGATGCGGACACGGGTGGTCCACACCTATGAAGTGCCTGGGCGTCTCCTGCAGACGTACCAGGGACAGCAGTACGGCCAGCACTTCGTAGATCCCTCCGTGTCCGCTCAACCTTCACTGGGAGGAATGCTGCCCCCTGGAGCGCCTCCGCCCCCGCGCTACCCCGATGGTGTCCCCCGAGAGTTCTGGGAGCAGCTGTTCCGGCAAACGGAGTTCCAGCGCCGGCCGCCACCCACCAACTAAACCTTAGACTTGTTCTTTGATTTCTTGTTCTTTCCTTGCATTTTCTTTTGTTGTTGTTGTTTTGAATGCTGTAGTATTTTTGTTGTGTCATGCGCCTCCGGGCCGGGTCTTCCTGGTTGTCCGGTTGCGGATGCCGGCGCCCTGTTTGGGGACAAACAAGGTCCTCGAGGGGGGCGGTGTGGCGTCCGTGCCGGTCGGCCGCCAGAGGGCACCAGCGCGGTTCCACGGTGGAGCCGCGCAGTGGAGCCCCTGGTGGCCGGCCGGGGAGGCCCGTTCTTCCGGGCGGCGCATGCGCAGTAGTATTGTTGTGGCCTCGTTGCTGAAGTGTTTGCGGTGTACGTTTTTGTGGAAATAAACAGCCTGAAGCAGCAGAAACGAGTAAACCTGTGTTGGGAGTCCTTTCTTGGAGTGCGTGTGAGGAACCCCAGAAGTGTTCTACACTACATTACATCCAAATTACACAGAACTGCAAACTCCCAGTCCTGTGCACGGCTTCCACCCATATTTTTTACAAACCCTCATGCAAGTTCATGGCCCACAGCATGCTCAAATATTGAAGATTTTGACGGCATGCAAATCGTGATTTGGCCGGCGTAGGCAATTTTGGACCGATTTACTGGTCTGCACCCATAGAGTTAGTCTGACTCTATTATTAGTCTTACATGTCTTAATAATACGGGACATACCGTTATTTCGTTTTACCGTTTTGGATTTCCTCAACAAAAACAGTAAACGCACCGTTGACCGTTTTTTTCGTTTTACAGTTTTGTAAAACGGTCAAACGGTATTAGGTCACAAAAAACAATGACCTTTTTGTTGTTTTTCTTAATTGTTGAAAGCGACAAACGGTTAGTTACTTCATTTCAGAGTGTTGTTTTACAAGAACATGACAATGAAAAACGGTTAATAGTCCTGTCGACCATTTTTTGATTTAGGTTAGGCAATTAAGCAATGCACCTAGGAATGTTAATGCGTCCTCATGGGATCGAGTCATTACCTGGGACCCAAATTACCCTCCTCACATTTTCGTTCTCACGACATAGTTTTCGAACTGGCTATTGAAGAGCCGCGCCGAACTCCAATTTCCTTCAAATATCTGCAACTTCTTCAAACGTATTACCATCCTGTAGTATCCATTGTAAAAAGTAATGTCCTCCCTTGAGGTTTTCCAGCGCCATTTTTGCTTGCAACTCTTAAGCCCCACCATCTGAATCGCGTGAGAAGGGGGTCAGGGTCACGCCAGGAATCATCACACCACGCATTATGCCGAGGTAACACTTTTTCATGTAAAGCATGGTCCCCCTCCATCCCCCTTGCCCAGCACCACAAAATGCACCACGGACTGTTCACTATGACACTGAAATAAAAAAACAGTCTGTATTCAATACTGACCGTTTTGCTGTTTTTCAAAGTTATTTGTGTAAAACTGTAAAACAAAAATCATTGATCGTTATGCTGTAATGAAATTTATTAAACTTATAAAACAGAGAAACCGTATTTATCTTAATACCGTTTGACCGGTTTACAAAACTGTAAAACGACAAAACGGTCAATGGTTTGTTTACTGTTTTTGTTTTGAGGAAATGCAAAACGGTAAAACGAAATAACGGTATGTCCCGGGATTCTTAATCCTCCATCAACTGAAGTGCTGCGCTTATCAGCGGAAAAAGAGCCCTCTATCGCCGGTTTCAATACAGCCCAAGCTACTGAAAAAATATTCCCTGCAAAATTCGCGACTATACAAGTCGCAAAAATATTCCGGACGTCACAAAAAAATATTCACGACGTCGCAGGAAATTTTTGCGACCGGTCGTGAATACAATGTAAATTCACGACGTCGCAAAAAGATTCACGACGTTGCGAAAATATTCACGACTTAACTAGTCTTGAATACATTCACGACGTTGCAAAGCAAATCACTTGTTATGTCCCTTCATTGCCACTATACTTTTGGGTAATTTATTTAGAATGCAAACCTTCATAATATAATTATTTTACTCCTTGTTTCAAGTTTTATTTTTCCATTTTAAAGGGTTTTTTTGGCTGCCTTCTCCGTTTGTATACTAATGCCAAGCTCCATACAATCTTGAGCAAAACTTGTATTGTTATTCCGGGCAATTTAATGTTACATGGCTTTTTCAGCACAAAAGAGTTGCTAGAATTTTGGATATTTTGGAGTCATAAATTTCTTTTCTTTAGTGATTATTTGCTGTGTCAGGCAGTTAGCCGAAACAACCCTTTCCCATAAACGTTTTCATCAAGCAAATTTTGGGTGAATAATTTGAAAGAAAACCCCTGAAATTAGCAGTGTCTTCCTGAATGACAGCAGTAAACAGCGCGCTCAGTAGTCCGGAAAAGCATGGACACTGTTAAATGTCTCAAGAAGTGCACTTTGCAATAAGATTAACCAAAAACAAAATGTCAAATGTGTAGTTTTCATACATTTCAGAGTTAGTAGAAAGTGGCACAAATGTATTCCTGAGAACAATTAATAATTTTGTACGGCCCCTTTAATTAGAAAGAGTTTGAAGACTCTAGATATGATTTACGCCGTGATAATTCAGAATTGTATACGTAGGAAGTTTTAAACCATGATTGACAAAATGTGAAATATTTTTGCACATTAGGCCTAATGAAAAAGAATGCCCATTCAACCCCTTACTACTGGTTCAGACGACATTGAATGAACAACGCGATATTTGTTAATTTGATGCATCTTTTAAAGGAGTGAGTGAAGCTAAAAGACGAATGAATGCTTGGATAGTGAAATCGAATGATTCTTTTTGATTGTCGAATGACGATCCATTACGGATACACTCTCGCAAAATGTGGTCCAGCAGCTTTCTATACAAAAACCTCGTTGGCTCGGGGTTTTGTACGTAAACCTTATCAGTCAGCCGATCACGCTCAATTGCAGAGTTGTAACGAGTCACTGCTTTTTGTGACTCGAGTCGAGTCGAGTCGAGTCGAGTCATTAGGTCAAGACGGTCGAGTCGAGTCGAGTCGAGTCACAGTGTATGGTCGAGTCGAGTCGAGTCGAGTCGAGTCAAATATTTAGCTCGAGTCAATTCGAGTCACAAATATTTGAGCACTATACAATGAATAAACACATGAGAGAAAGTCATTTTTTGGCTTTTTAAATTTTACATTCGGGCTACTACATGTGTAGACACCACATTTGCCTCTTAATAAAAAAGGGGGTGCCAGCTGATCGCCATTCAACTAATGGGGACACTGATCAAACCTCGTATGTGTATGTATACATTATTCGCGAACATTCTAACGTGACGTGAACAAAAACCGGCACCGGCGTAAGTCATTGCAAATATTTTTTTCGCAAAGTTTTGCTTTTATTTTTGGGACTCGAGTCTCATTAGCCTTCCTCGAGTCGAGTCGAGTCATTCTGATAAGGGACTCGAGTCGAGTCGAGTCATTTGCTCGCAGTGACTCGAGTCGAGTCGAGTCATTTGCTCGCAGTGACTCGAGTCGAGTCGAGTCATTTGCCCTTAGGGACTCGAGTCAAGTCGAGTCACCAAAAATTGAGACTCGAGTCGGACTCGAGTCGAGTCATTGACTGGAGTCATTACAACTCTGCTCAATTGACTTCGGCCAAACCGCAGTCCCATCATAAGAAATAAGTTAACAATGTTATCCGGACCATTTTTTCCGAGAGTGTGTCTGTAATGGTTGATGGGCTTTTAAAACGAACTTTTGCAAATGGGAAAGACACTTTGGAAAAATCCAATCAGTTTGAATATGCTTCATGAATTTCTGAATAAACGAGCACATTTTTAACAGTATTTAATTACTATTATTTTTTGGCTGTGGTGGGGGGGGGGGGGGGGGAGTGGCTAGCTGGGGGGGGGGGGGGGTGCCAGACAGAAGATATATCAGAATGGCGCAGTAAGACCGACAGCGGGCGCAATAATTTTGATTAGGGTTTCAAAAATTTCTACGCGTCCGAGTCGTTAATTTGCATAAAAAGTGCCCCCACAATTTTTTGTAAAAAACGAGACCGTCTAGTTTAAAAATCGGTGGAATCGTGCGAATATAGCCGAGGATCATCTCCCTAGCTTTTGGGCTATTATCTAAGAGCAGATTTGATAAAATTAGGGTCCAAAAATGGGTCCTATTTGCAGGAGAAAATGTAGGCATGCCACTGGTAACTTTGGCAGTATGCAGGCTCAGCATTACCGGCAGGCTTCAAGCATTACGGACACACTCTCGCAAAATGTGGTCCAGCAGCTTTCTATACAAAAACCTCGTTGGCTCGGGGTTTTGTACGTAAACCTTATCAGTCAGCCGATCACGCTCAATTGACTTCGGCCAAACCGCAGTCCCATCATAAGAAATAAGTTAACAATGTTATCCGGACCATTTTTTCCGAGAGTGTGTCTGTAATGTCTGCGTCAGGTGATCTTTCAATTTCAATCGATGTTAAATTAAATAAAAACTTGGTGAAATTGGCCGGGAAAACCCATATTACTATTTGCCTACATGTATAGAAAATTGAGGCTCGAGCGGAAACTAGTATTGAGAACATGTTTGCAGATTAATGAGGGCTTCAACCGATGGATCAGGCTGTGTCACAAGAGGCAATCTACTTAGCGAATTTATCCGGAATTCAGGCGTAATATTAATTGTGTTCCTCATTTGTAATTGTATTGCAATCTGACCGTCCTTTGTAGCTAATGGATTGTTTTCAAAGTTGAAGAATGGCCACGTGAATGATCAATATACAATTTACAATCGATACAATTTTCGTTGGCAGTGTTACTCAGCCGTGTGGTTGCGAAGGCCGATTTCTAAAGGTTACGTATATATGTAATACTTTATTTTGAATGAAGAAAAAAAAACATGCACACATGCGGACATGTACACGTTGGCGGGCGAAATCTTTGAAAATTATTTTCTCCCTTTGGAGGCCGTATCTTCATGCAACTCTCAGGGTTTGTTTCCTTTATAATGATCCAACTGTGTCCTAAAAATCGTTTTGATATGTATGTTCAGTACTTTTCGTTGGAATTTGAATAATAGGCCTGGCTACGTGCATTTTAAAAGTTGTAACACGCGTGTTTGCAATATCAGTCAATCTTTTTAAGCCTTACGAATACGAACATTAATAAGGTTCCTATCCATTATGGTGTTCATTACAAATTTGCAGAATAGCCTCCTTCACGAATTATTATTAAATAATTATCACCCTTTTTTCCGGCTTCTATTGGTCGATACAGAGACCAACGCGAAGTCACACCGAGTGACGCTAATGAATATGCCAATATATGCGCTTCGTCATTGTTGCCCCAAAAATCAGCCAACCTGAAAACCATGCACGTGAGATAATTTGGTAGGCAAAAAAATCCTTGTCTAAATTTACCTTGGGGATAGTTCAAGGTGTAACACAAGCGTTTGCAACAACATAATTATTAAGCT